TGTGTGTGTGTGTGTGTGTGTGTGTGTGTGTGTGTGTGTGTGTGTGTTTGAGTGTGTGTGTGAAATGAAATGGAGTAATATAATAAATAGATAAATAAAATTTAAGTATGGATGTCTATTTATGATAATATAACCAGGAGTTCTTCCGTCTTCTCATAAGACAATTTCTGTAACCATTTTCTTAGTATATATCCAACTTCATACTTGTTTAATGCATATATTTGATGGGATCAAAGCTTAGAATCAATTACATCACAAACAAATTAATAAATTCAAATTGAAACAGTAATAACGGACGTATCAAATGCTAGGCTTATACTTATAACAACTAGAAATTTTAATATAGCCAAATAATGATGTAATTGCTTTTTTCCTTCTCCACCACGAGAAATTTGCATTCGGCTCAACAAACCAATAGCACTGATATTAAAATATTGCCGAATTTGCGGTTATTTCACTGTTAAAATTATTCTGTTGTGTATTAGTATGTAGATTGTATGACCAAATAAATTATACAAAATACCAAGTGACCACAATAAATCAAATCGTCAATAATCAATCAATCACAGCGATGAGCGCTGTAAACCGGCCACGACATGTTTACGGTAGTGGGGCTGATATCCGGCGGCCGGAGACCGGGTATCCGGATCAAATGACTATCCGTTTCATCATTAGAATTTTATGTTTTAATAGTAGTAGAGCTCCTTGTGAAAGAAATCGCCGTGTGAAGTACTGCCACCTTACCTATTTCTACCGCCATGACGACTTATACGCTTAGACTATCTTGTACGTCCCGTCACAAGGTATCATAAAAAAAAATTACGTACCCGTATATAATTTCGTATATTAATTAAAGGGCTTTAGACTTTTTAGTCTAGTTATTAACACTATCAACTCACCATATATTCCAATGCTAATGCAATGGACACGGGCTGTTTTAAAGGTTTTCCAAGGGCTGTGAACCTTTTTCGACATGCCTATGTTTTCCTTTATCGTTAGCCCAAGACGTTGCTACCAAACCTTCACAAATATATCTAGATACCACCGTTCCAGTGAAGTTAGTACCGTTGGAGTGCGACATAAAGGAAAACTTTGTCTCTCTGCAGTGTCATGTGAACGTGCCGAATTTTGCGGTTTTTATTGTAGATGAGCCTCATTTTATTCTAGCAATGGATGTATAGCATTGTACGTCAGGGCATATAAAGCAATTATTCTAAATATAATACGCCGACAAGCAAAGAGCATCTTCCCATTCCATATTTTATATTATGCATGCCATTACAAAGTCGTAAATGTTTTTATGGCAGTAAACAATCGTAGAAACTTGTAGAGAGCAAAAACCGGTCTGAGTAAGGTCCAACGCGGACACATGCCTTACGCGCTGCGATGTCGCAAATCAATTCGACAAATTGTGCCGCTTGTTTTTCCCTTATCACTGGCGTAACAAAAAACAAGCGGTCTACAGTGAGAACATTGCAGAATGTCGCTATAACCAAGATACAAGTGAATGTACATGAAACTTTATTGTAACTTTGAAGATAGGGAGAACCTTGACAAGAAATTAAAGCATTCCATCGATATTCCAATTGAAAGTTGTATGAACAACGGTTTGAATTGTTTATAATAGCCATTTTTTATGATACCAAGTGACCAACGATATGCCCATACATGTACCGATAGACATACCTATAATAGTTGCAATGTCATTCAGAGCTTTTGTCGCCACGCCTAAGGTTCAATCATAATGTAAATTACATATGCGACATTCCTTCTATCACAACAACCTTTAAATAGAGTATCTTTCTTCATGTACACTTCTTCTAACTCCATTCTACTTCATAGGACTACTATAATTGTCCTAACAGGCCCTTGACCTCATATCGATCCTCCAGATCTGAACTAGTGGGATCCTCTGATCCCTATGATGGGTCTCCACATACACCCCTACAGCCCTTCCTCTGCCATCGCTTCATGCCCCCTTGTACCTTCAGTACAAGTGGCGATCTCATTCTAATTCTGTTACTGATTCGTCATACTCTATCTTCAGGCTGTCTAGTCAACAAATACTGTATCTACGTTAGTAATAAACATTGTGCAAACTTACCAACTGTAGTGCCGACCAACCAGTGCACTCCCAGCAGATGCCTGATATCTCACCTTCATTTGAGATGCCTGTACTACAGTGTTAGTTCCCTACTCTTAGGGATCATAACAGACTAAATTTATTAATGCTTGATATTACAAAACTTATACTAAATCGCTTATACTAAATATACATAATTCGCGACAGCTTTAAATCACAAAGTTGTGAGGAGACAAACTCTATTACTAGAAGCTCTACTGCTACTAAAAACCTATGAATGTTTGATGGATTTGTGAAAAATAAATTTCGCGATATCATTCGATAGATAACGAGGATAATTATTTGTTGCAGATCGCATGATCGAGAGACTTTTCCGGCGCCATGTCAGCGGTGATGAGTACGCTGTCCATGATCAGCGGCGGGCGTCGCGCGCATCGCAAGCTCGCTTCCAGGTAACTGTAATAATAATAATAAATCATCAAATCATCAAATCAAATCATCAAATCATTTATTTCTTTGTGATACACAGGTTATAAAGTTGTTACAAGAATGAATTTTGAATCACTGTGATCCGCCTTATGGCATACAAAGTTTTCTTAGTTTTAGTAATTCTCATGCAATAATTTGTAATAATATTATAATCATGCAGTCCAATAAATGCAACCTATTACTAATGAAACATAATAACAATAGTAAAATAATCAATAACAAATTTAATAATATGAAATGTAAATTTTATAAGAAATCTTCAATATTATAGAATGTCCAATCATTTAGGTAATTAAATAATAACTTCTTAAATTCTGCACAATCTTTGCAATTCCTAATTTCAAGTGGAAGTTTGTTATAAACCTTCGTAGCCATTACTATTACACTCTTTTGAAGTAGAGCAGTTTTACATGATGTACTTTTCAGTTGATGAGAAAATAAGGTACATACTCAACATAGCCCCGCACTAGGGAAACCCTGTGTCGCGGGTGCCATGGACACACATAGACAACCACAAATTACACCCAAACTCACGAGAGAAATAAATGTAGGCCATACAAATATTTCTCCCGCCCCGGGAATCGAACCTGGGACCTTTATCATTATTATTACTATTATTATTATTATATCTATTTTAGACTCTCGCCTCTCCCAAGGCCTAAAAGATTAATTTTGAATTTTTGAATGGGAGAGGCGGTATTTCCCGGCAATGGCACAGTCGGCCGGGGTCAGGGACTCAGGTTCAAGAACCGGCGAACAATACGTGCCGTATCGAGCAGGGCCGCCTTCTGCATTTGTTATTATTATTATTGTAGTTTACTTGATACATTATGAAACTCTTTACTTTCTTTAGCCCCGTTATGATTTTTTATTATAGGGTTGTTATTTGTGGTGAGAGGCCATGATACATCTGTTTAGTTTAGGTACCAGTCTCTTGCAAACTTAATGTAAAATACTTTTTTTCACCTTATAAAAAATATTTTAAAATATTTTTTTACCTTGTGTTATTTTTAATGGAGCTACAATTGTTACCTATGTTTGTAAAGCCAATAAATATTATTATTATTAAAATTGACAATAAGAGTCGAGTACAATTCCTGTAAATTGACATATTTGCACGCTGCTGTTATACAAATAAGGAGAAGGAAACCAACTATAGTCACGCTTCTATTTTGCGATGGACATCCATCACATTGCGAGCGAATCACAGTAAATGCGCATACGCGCATCAAACATCACGCAATAGGTGGCGGAGGCAAGGCGGAGGAATGCGAAATTTACGGAGATGTGCCATTTCCATACGACCACACACTCGCGACCACAGCAGAACACTATATTCTCGCGACAAGCCGCCTACGCCTTGTCTGCCTTTAGTAAAAAAATCGAAGTGAAAATTATTAACATAATCGGTGATATCGGTGTAAGTGCTTAATTCTAAGTATTCCAAGATTACCTTTAACCATCTAACACCCAACAACCTACAGTGGGAAAAGCGCTAAACGCCTATATATAATTACATGCTTCGGGCTCCTGTGTTGAGCCTCTTAGTTTTGCACGACGAGCGTATTTTCTTAAACCCTACTGGAATATATATATATGTATATATATAGCACTAATTTTGAACTAAGTTTGAATTGTTACTACAATGTGCACTGGGCGTTTTCGGGCGAGACTTTCAAACATTTACAACGAGCAGAGTTGTAAAACCTTGCCTACGAGCAGCTCAATAGCATTCTCGTCGTGCGGTGCTGTCGCTGCGTGGGCGCACCAAACAACGAGTCCAAAGCAGATCGGCTTTACCTTGTATGCCTTTGTAGAAAGTCATTGACTTTGAAGATATATTTTTATCTTCTTTCGGAACGAAAGTGGTTTTAGGAATGAGGAACAATGTACTAAAGCGCTGTTTAATGTGACAATGGTATATTAAAATTTAATATAAAGCCGTTATTGTATGCACGACTCCAGAATATCACGATGAAATTTTAAATGTTCTATTCAGACAAATTAAACTTATCACTAAAATCTAATAGCTGTTTGAGAATCGTTAAAAAAGTATTTTTTTTTAAATAATGAAACAATACCATTGTGCTGTTTTCACTATTGTGACGAGAAAAAATTGCGATTGTGTCAGTGCAACAATGCTGGCTAAATTAATTTACAAGCCGACAAACTTGTAGCCGCGATAAAGCTTACTACACCTGCCCATTCATCTCGCCGTTGCCGCAGAAATTACATAGATTTATTATAAAAACCAAGGTTTGTTACACAATTACTTTTAAATGTATATCGTGGAATGTTCTTGAAAGCTTTTGCTTAAGTTAATTAACTAAAACTGAGTAATTAGACGGTAAAGTATTATAATTTATACCTATAGTTGATTTGCGTTCAGCCTAGTGATAAAACAATTGCAGATGAAACTGTTTTTAACCGATTTTAAAAAAAGGAGGAGGTTCTCAATTCGACTCCATTTTCTTTTTGTATATGTTACGCGACAATTCAGTAGTGGTCTCATTTAAATTTGAAGAAAATATTTCACCTCTAAGGGTGCCAAACTAGGGGATGAATCCAGTTTCGTGCACTTTCCGGTAGCCGATTTCAAAAAAACTTGGCAAATAGATGTAGTTCCACGAACTTTTGAGATCGATCTTTTTAGTGCTGGTACTAAAAAGGTTTAGTATTTCTGTACTGGGATTGTTGACAAAAAGACCAATGTTTCGGGTACTTTAGAGATCCCATAGTCTCGGTTGGTTGGGACCATGAGATCTGGACTTTAGATCCGAAAAAATATTTAATAATTCAACAGTAAAAACAAATGCATTGAGAGCTCAGATTATAAAGTAATAATTGAGAGCTAAGTAATCGTAGATACGAAACACGTGTACGGCAAGTGAATTTGTAAACCGATTTTAATGTGAATCAAAAACCGTGTTGAGATCGGTGTGCAAGTACGTGCGATTGAAATTTTCACTAACATAACAACTTGTCCGAATCATCCGAGCGGAGATATCAAAAAGATTTACATCTTCCGTATGAAGTGAGAAAGTGAAGATTAGTGTACAAACATTGTCCTAACACCAAACAATGGAGCACCGAAACTCAGACGTGGGGGAGTGGTGGGAACCGCGTATTGAGTTACGACTCAAATGTGGGCCACACTTACGGAAATTGTTTCTTTCTGGGCGTTTCGCAATTCTATACCTTAACAAAGTTTTCACAGAAGCATAATTCGTAATTGCTTTAAGTAATTAGTAAAAGTAAATACCCACAAAATAAATTTATAAACATTTTTTATTACATTCATTAGATTAGGCGGAATGACTTTGTTAATGAACAAAATGTGCGGAGCGCGGAAATCTTTTGACAGAAAAACAAAGATAACCAATAAAACAAAAACGGGTACATACATTGAGTCTATAATACGTTAAGACTGTGAAAAAAAGTAGTTTCTAGTATTCTCATAATCATTTTGTTTTCAGTGGACGCAAGTCGGGGCAGTTCAGCGACGCGGGCGAGGAGCGCACGCGCAGCCAGCATGACCTCAACCGACAGCAGCGATCCGCTTCACTGGTAGGTCGTACAGATTTTAATTAATTTATGGTGATTTTATGCTGGCCTGAAAATAAATAATTTAACCTGCTCGGCTCCATTATATAAAATTATAATATGCAATAGTGATCGTGGACTCCGTTTTACGAGTGGCACAGCAGTGAATAAATTTTAACTTTATTGCTTTCCATGGACGGGAATGACATTAATTTGTGAAACTTATGATCCTATAAGTTAATACTAAACCTAGCGGAAACAACAATAGGATTTATATTACGTTATTCTATTGTGCGATGCGTGGGCTCCAGCAAAATGAGCAGGCGCAGTGCGGTCGACCACCAACGGCGAGTGTTGTTTTCGCACATTAATTGACACGTCCTCTGTCCCGTATATTTAGCCCTTAACCATAATGTCCTGCATACGCTCTAATGTATACAAAAACCTTTCCCAGTAAATATGCAAATTCAAATGAAGCTGGGAATTATTTAGAATTAATATGACGTATGATAATTATAAATGCATAACGGCGCCGCGCTGGCGCAGTGTGACTGCCCTCATTAGGTTTTTAGAACTTTGTATGAAGTAATATTTGGCTCCCTTGATGATCAGCTAGTATTACTTAAGTATTAATATGCAGAGCGGTGGTAGCCCAGCGGGGAATTGTTGATTCTCAATTATTAAAGCCGACGGTTCGAATCCCTGTGGCGGTTTGTACCTATCATTTCAATTTCCAAGTTAGATACAATTGTGAATTGGAAATTAAATTATTTTATCGGAAATAAATCGCTTTACAGGTCACATGATCACGGCTAACTGAGATGGTAAAATCATGAAGCAATTATGTAAAAGGGTGGCTTTTGATCGAAAAATACAATACATAATACGCTATTTGAATCCGGAAATAGTAGTTTCATTTCGAACGTGTAGCCATTGAGAAAACCTAATCCGTCTCCTTAGACGTGTGCACAGCAATGGGATTGTAAATATAGCCACATGACTATAGTTCTCATGGTACATTACTATACCAATTTAGAAATCAATCGAAAAACTTGTTGCTTTCGTACGTTAAATCATACTACTGTAGAATTAAACAGTAATTGTTAGTAATATTACGAATTTGTAGCCTACAGGCATTACAGCAGCTCACGTAATCTATACCGCAGTAATTATCACGTGTATTGCAATTACACCTCTGCTGAATAAATATTTATTGCTTGAGGCACAACTGTAATTAAGCTACACTCTGTTTCAAGGTGTATACTCTATCAAGTAGCATGAGGTTTACATGTTAGTTGCCACTAAAAACAGAGATATGGAGAATATAAACCATGTCCTACGTCCTTCCTAAAAGTGAAAACGCACAGGCATTTGACGTAGTTTTGCAAATGATAAAATTTTACAATACGATATGTATCCTCACTGGCTGTTAAAATGTTCTACGTGCTTTCTATTTTTTCCTTTAAACTAGGCATATAATGTACTATATGTACATGGTTTATTTTACTTTGTTTACGATAATCATTGACGTGACGACCAAGTCATGCGCCTGGTGGCTAGCGACACGTCTACCTTTGCAGTTGCAGAGCCACTTAGAGATGGTAGACCCACTATTACTGCGCCTGCCACCCTGGCACGTATAGTTGACAAGCTTCGTGCGTCTGTACTTTCACCAGCGCCCTTACCCTTTAAAACCGGAACGCAGTAAATCTCACATTACTGCTTCGCGGTAGAAATGGATAAAGTGGCAATACTTCCCTAGATGAACTCTATCAAAAGAAGCTCTTCTGCTACAAAAGAAGCTCTACAAAAGCATAAATAAATTTTATTCATCTTCATCAAATCATTTATACTTCCCACTGCTGGGCACGGCATCCTCTCAGACTAGCGTTTAGGCCATAGTCCGCCGCCTTGGCCCGTGAGGGTTGGGAACTTTTAATATTTTACTTGAAATATGTCTAGCCTTATGGAGGGTATAAAACATGAGATAGTATTGTTTGCTGATGATACTTCCTTATTATTTAAAGTTAAAAGGCACCTATGTTCCTACGACGATGTGAACAATGTTATATCTAAAGTAGTTGATTGGTTTGCTGTTAATAACCTACTTCTTAATGAAAAAAATACAAATTGTGTAAAATTTACATTACCCAATGTTAGAGAGACGGTTACAAACATTGTAGTTAGAAACGAAAAATTGAATCTTGTGGATACATTTGCATTTCTAGGTATAACGTTAGATGCTAAATTGCAATGCGGTCCCCATATAAGTAAGTTATCAAAACGGCTCGGCTCTGCAGTGTATGCGATTAAAAAAATAAGGAAACTTTCAGACGTCGAAACCGCTAGATTGGTTTACTTCAGCTATTTTCACAGTCTAATGATATACGGCATGTTGCTTTGGGGTAATGCCGACGATATCAATAGAATCTTTGTCCTGCAGAAACGTGCAGTTAGGGCAATTTACAATCTGGGCCCCAAAGTATCTTTGAGAGATAAGTTTAAGGAAATTAACATCCTTACACTAGCCTCACAGTACATTTATGAAAATGTAATTTATGTTAAAAGGAATAGTAATTTCTTTATGAAAAATAGTGACAGACACAACATTAATACGAGGAATAGAAATAAACTAGCTTTTCTTGATAGTCGTCTTCAAAAAGTCGAAAAATCATTTAAGGGGCAATGTATACGCTTCTATAACAAGATTCCGGTTGATATACAAAATTTGCCTTTCACGAGGTTTAAAACTATAGTGAAACAAAAACTTTATACTAAAGGTTATTATACAACTTCTGCGTACTTGGATGACAAAAATCCGTGGTAGTAACCCGTTTAGATCATGGAGGTAGTCTCGATCTCTGATGTTTCAAATAAAATAAAAAATTGTAAATGTTATTTACAAAGAGCAACCCCTAGAGTTTCTTGCTCATTCTTCTCAAGGGAATCTGCCTTACGAATGAGCGGTAGAGTTTAACCATTGTGACGATTTCAAGTGTAATAATGCTTACCTATGACATAAAGATTATTTTGAATTTTTGAATTTTGAATTTTGAATTATATTCAAATTAGTGTTTTATTTTGCAATTTTTGATGCGCAATAAAGTACTATATTTCATTAGGTCATTCATTCGATCGCTCTTAACCATCTATATAATCCACAGTTTATTAAACGAGTCGATTGAAAGTAAGAGTTGTTTATATATTATTTTCGACTCTGTTTGCCTGTAAAAGTTGCTGTCTCACTTACGCGTAGCGCCATCGGTGTCGCCAAGATTCGTGAGCTTCATAGCTTGTGTGGGCTGTAGCCAAGTAGCGGTGACAAAGGCCATCAACGGACGATGACACTTAGTTGTTTTGTTGATTGCAACTGGGACGTGGTAGGTGGGCGTATAGCTACTTATACATTTTGTAATGGCAGATTATGTTTGCCGAAATTAAAAAAATATTTCTTAGCTGAGTATCTTGGGTGCATAATTTTATAATTTATAGTCGTGTTTAAACATTATGTGCGTTACATACGCGCGATCCCAGTGAAGATGATGTCAAAGCTTTAAAAGTAAACTTCACTAGTATTCATTATAATATTTTACTTTTAAATCTTTTATGGTAATTAATGCGAGAGCTGTTTGCTCGCCTGACTATCACGTCGCTGTACAGCCACGTAGAGTTTGACTGAATGAAACTTATTTGTCGTTTTATAGTTTTTTTTCTTAATTTGACTTATTTTTTGTGTAACATTTTGAAACGTTAATTTAAAAAAATACATTTTTTTTATAAAGTTATGATGAAGTTATGATAGTAATGATATGAAGTCTTATAAAATTATGAATATTGTATTTTCCTACCGGTCTACGGACTAAAATCAACAATTAATTATTATTCAAAAGTTTTATAAAATGATGTTAACAATAGCATGCCTGCCAACGCGTGGCGTTGATGTGACGAGTTATGTAAGTTTCAAGTGTATTGCATTAGTCACTGCGCCTGCGCAGCCCAGCGCATATACGTGTTAAGTTCCGCAGGTCGTAGGATGCTATTTAAATCTATCTTGGTTTGACGAACAAATACACCTTTACGTTCTTTAAATCACACATTGTAACGGTCACACGCGTGAAAATGGTGTTGTTTTCCCTTAGACAACACACACGAGAGTGTATTTGGCGTGGAGACCAAATAGGCGAGCTTTTAAGTAATATGATTATGTTTGTAAGCGTAGAGGTGAACGTAAACTGAAACTAAATTAATATCGTAAGAAAGCGTGAAATATAAATTATCAAAATTTAGAAATTTTATACCAACACGTGGTCTCCTCTGTTTCACTATAAAATACTTGAGTACTTATAACTATTTTGTAAACAATGTAATGTCACGAAACTCACTAACGCATAAATGCAAATCGAGGAAGGCCATAAAGAGTTTGAATATGAATTATTCCAGCAACTTGTGAATGAGTTTTTCTCTATCGTAGATGAATTTCAGCATCTGTGAGCTTAAACTCCAATCCAAATAATCATTTGTTCCATAGATAAAATTTTAACATTTGAAAACGTCATTTTTTAAGCTACTGCTCGTTCACTGTGCCGACTTCCCTGAGAAGAACGAGCAAGAAACTGTAGGGATTGCTCTTTTCTCATAAACTTATAAATACTATAGAATACATTTTGAATCATATTTGTGTGGAATCTACTCTTGTTGTTTTTCCATACGTCTTTATCTACGTAACACGTAGTCTACAACTTTTGTAATATGACTTTTCAATTAAAATACTTTTAATGTAAGTTTTGCACTTAGGAAATGGTAATCTTAATATATGCTCCGGAATCTTATTGTAAAAACGTATACAATTCCTCAAAAAAGAATCGTTTACTTTAGTTAAACGAGATCATGATACCATGAATTTGGACTTAGTTCTAAGGTTAATATTATGGATATCTTCTTTCTTAACGAAATTATGTATATTTTTACGTGTATATAAAATATTTGAGTAAATGTACAGTGATGCCATAGTCTTGATACCAGTCTCCTTAAACTTTTAAGAAAAGAGTTTAAGAGAAACCCGAGAACCTAAACGGTACATAGAACGAATGACTCGTTTTTGCAACACAAATATGGTTTGTATACCTGGCGCTTTACCCCACATGAGAATCCCTTAGAACATTATGCTATGGAAGTAGGTAAAGTAAACTAGTCTAGCAGTAGCTTAAGCTGATGTTGCGGGTTGCGACGATGCGGCGCGGCGATGCCGCAAGTGTGACCAGGTCCAATTAGTACAACGTAACATACATGTTATCAACAATTGAAAAAAGTTAATTAATTGGTTGTTATATATACTCATACCTGTATTGATTTAGGGGAAAACGTTTTACTATGAAAACGATTACTATAGGAAACAAAATTAATATACTTTATCACGCAAAGTACCGGGCATTGGTGGCGAATGTAGAGAAGCCTGTTCGTACACTAAATTATGATGTGATGCTACAGAAACTCCGGAAAGTGAGGCGGATTAACACCCCGTCACAGAAAAACTATCTTGTACGAAATCGAAAACAATGAAAACCGATGTGATTCCAAATACTAGAAACATACTCTGGATGCTGTGACGGTAACTATTTCACTTCTATTATGACGCTAAACTGGATCAGTTATACTTATATTCTAGTCATAATAATCATAGTCCAACCATATTTGCGCTTCCGTTTTTCTCATCCGTTCGAAATCGTGTGGAAAGCGAAAGTATCATCAGAGACGTCTACTTGATCGCCATTCGCCACGCCGCGCTAGTTTTCGCGGCAAGCAGGTTGCCAACTGGCACGGGCTGATAACCATACGCCTCCTTCGGCCCCACGACTTACGATGCACCAGTTAACTAAACTGCGTGTTAGTTTTGCTAATCTAATGCGGGATTTAATTGTAGTTTCACTCATTTCTAACCTTCTAATTATTAGTAATCTCCACCGCGTTCTAAATGTAATATGTATTACTGTTGCTCTGGCGAATCATATTGCTTTTACACATGTGAAAACTAGTTGCCTTTCTCTTTTTTTGTTTTTTATTTTAATCAAATGCAAAATGAGTAAATTACTACAAAGAAAAAGTTTTTAATCCATCCAGTTGATACAAGTAACTTCAGTGACGTATTCAAGAAGAACTGTTTTCATATAATATCAGGTGACAGGACGAACGACACGCCTATCTATAATAGTTGCAGTGCCACTCAGAGCTTTAAGTCACAAAGATCTGAGGGGCACTGCCACTACGCCTGTCACCTTGAAACATAAGTTGATAAGTCTCATGTACCTGTAACTTCACTTCTGTGTAGCTTCCTTATTCACCCTTCAAAACCGAAACGCAATAGCGCACACATTACAGCTTTGCGGCAAAAATAATAACGCGCACATGCCCCGCATAAGGGAAACCCTTTGTCGCGGGTGCCATGAACACACACATAGACAACCACAAATTACACCTTGGTCCCTCCCAGTCCGGCATAGTAACCGTTCGGCCACTGAGCCAGTTAAATGTAATAGATAAGGTGTAAAAAATAAAAATAAAAATGGGTAAGGTATCAATACTTCGCTGGACGAACTCTTTCACAAGAAACTAGGTACTGCTACTAAAAACTTAATAAATTGTGATGTGAATATTAGAGACATAACACTCAGCACTGCCAGTATACGTCCACTAAAACGCAGTAATACAACCGCGTATTTCCCTACACGCATATTAATTTTGCCAGTGCGATGAAACCGGTGTCGAAAGTTCGATTTATAATCGTAATTACTTACATTTGATTGACTCGTTGCTCGATTTAATGTTCCGTATCGGTAATTAGCGTTGATACTTATATGTGAGTTGCATTAATTACATGTGCAACAATTATATGCGGCATGCGTTCTAAGATAGGGATCGAGAGAAATAGACGGCACGACATCTTAAGTTAACATTTACGCTTTCATTGCTGTGCTTTGTGTGCTAATTTGGCCGTTATTGGTCAAGAGCACGTCAATTACGTAAATTTAATTAACAAATATGCAGCTTGTAATAAAATCGGTTAAAGCCTGCTTGCTAGATGTGCTTTTGACTACAAAAAGCAATTTAGCGGCTTTTTGAAATACTTATCTACTTGTCATTCCTGAAATTTAGGAATGGCAATTTTGAAATATTTTTTAAACTAATATGATCATATCTAGTTCTTGGGTTTTCGTGACTGCTACACTGGAAATTTGTTTTGTTTTGTCAGTCATTCGAGATTATGGGACCTGTCTTTAAGAAAGCCGAATCGTTGCTTTGTTTGTTATAACAACGGGATTTGAATCCGAAAAAATTGTTTTATTTCCAGTTATAAGTTTAAATAAAAAATAAACATATATATTGTTATTACTCAGATTTCTTTTGTGAAATGCCTCCACTAGTTTCGCTAAGTAATATCAGCATTATACAAATACAAATAGAAACTATTAAACTAATGACCTGCGTCTCAGAAATATGCGAAACAAAGAAATCCATGAAAACTTACGCAACATCTATCTATTTCAGTAAGAGCTCGTCTAGAAGTCTATCTATTTTAGAAAAGCACTGCCACCTTACCTATTTCTGTCAAGCAGTAATGTAAGCACTATTGCTTTTCGATTTTGAAGGGTAAGGGTGCCGGTGAAATTACATGCACATGGGACTTGTCAACTTATGTCTGAGGGTGACGGGCGCAGTAGTGCCCCACAGAGCATTGTGATTTAGAGCTCTGAGTGGCACTGCAACTGTTATGGACTGGCGTGTAGCTTACCATCAGGCGCGCGACTTGTTTGTCCCGTCACTTGATATTATAATAATAATATAATAATTTTATTATAAAAAAAGGGTTGTTAATACAAATATCGAACACATAGAAAAAATTCTTCGACTCGATGGGACTTGGACCACGCTGTATGTACCAGCCGCTGAATGCCGTAAAATCCAGTATATCTATAACAAAAACACATAGGAGAATTTCGACAACTCGATAACTTCACCTGTAGCTCAGTTGGTTAGAGCAGCGCTGCGGTACATCGTGATCACGGGTTCAAGTCCCATTGGGTCGGATAATTTTTTCTGTGTGTTCGATCTTTGTGTTTATAATCATATCAATAGTTACTTTATCGGATTTCCTATCTTATAGTATCTCTTACCAACTATACGATCATAATCGTGTCTCTCTAAAATTTCCCATTCATTAGAGATCATATTATGCACATCATTTAGTTTTTGCTGAAGAGAAATTAAATTGCAGGAGTTGTTTATTTACGCATTCACATAGTCATTGAAACTCTGATATGACATCGGTTATGTGAGGTGATGCGGTTATTAATATTCTTAAAGCCATAAAAATTACTAAAGACCTTAGTACCCTTTTTGTGTATACATGTATCCAATGACTTTTATGAGTTTGAGTAAAAAGTGCTTAAAGTTCCCAGTAAAAGATAGTGATGCGCAAAAACTTGTTTAGTAGCGTGTCTTCAAGCTAGCATTAACGTTTATTTTAAAATAATAAACATATATGCTCAGTTTCTTTACTATTTCATTATGTTATGTATTGATTAGTATAAAAAATTATACGGAAGTGTGGTAGGTTCACACGCAGTGAACAAACTCATTCGTTTTTGATGTTTGAATCTGGGATGGCTCTGCTATTTGAATATTTCCTTATACATGTTAAGAATGCTCACGTCGTCGTGTGCGGGATAAGATATTTCGAGTAAAACACTGTTTTAAGGTATATGTTTGTTTGTTCCAGCAAACCTTGGAGACAGGTGGTACCGGGGTCGTCAACCTCGAGAGCCTGGAGGCAAAGGTAAGCGACCTCCCCATATATTATCTCCTTACATTTTGCAAATAGCATCGTGTGGTAGTGAATAACAAATGTGGTAATTCTCTAGCAATACCATAAAAATAATAGCTATATAAATAGTCATCTATGGTACGTTTATACCGTACGTACAGGTTTACATGTGGGACTGTTAAAGTTATAAGAAGATGTCTAAAGCGATATGCAATTCTTTAATGGATTATGTTGTACATGTTTAGGTATAGGTATATACCGCTGTATATGTGTTATTTACAACTACAGTCAGTATTTTCCAAGAAAATAAGGCATAAATGTTGTTTCATGCCGGTTCCATAAACTCTTCAACGATAGGACAGAAGATCTGTAATGGTTTTAGTAGCAGTAGCGTTCCTTGTGAAAGAGGTCGTCCAGGGAAGTACTGACATCTTACCTATTTCTGCCGCCAAGTCGTAATGTGAGCAATACTGCGTTCCGGTTTCGAAGGGCAACGGTGCTGGCAGTGGCGTAGTGTCGATTTCTGCCGCCCGGGGCCACCTTAAATTTGCTGTCCCCTCTATTTTCGCGATTACAAAAGTAATTCGTCCGGGCAGGCTCGATTCGATGGTGTTTTTATGTTCGTCTGCCGTCGCCATCTTTGTGTTGTTCCGGATATAGTTTTCTCAAATTGTAGAATTCATTTTCAAATTTTAAGTAAATAAAATAATTTTCACAAGCATTTTTCTGTGCCCGGGGCCATCTCCGTTCCCACGCTATACCATTAGGTGCTGGTGAAATTACAGGCACATGGGACTTGTCAACTTATATCTCAGAGAGACGGGCGCAGTAGTAGTGCCCCTCAGACGTTCATGTTTTACAGCTCTGAATGGCACTGCAACTGTTATGGACAGGCATGTCGCTTACCAGCAGGTGAACGACTTGTTCGTCTCGTCAGTTGGTGTCACAAAAAAAAAGAATATTGTAATATCAGACACTCACTCACCCATCTCCATACAACACACACGTATGCACACGTATGCGCGGAGAGACACACAAGCACGGACATACACACAAGCACGGACATACACGTAAACAGACGCATAACCACGCGCACACACTCGCACGCACACGTATTCATCCGCAATAGTATTTCAAACAGAGTTCCAAATTATCAAAACTTTTACTTTCTTTGATATTTGTCTGATAATTATCCGATAATTAGTCCTGCTGATTCATAGCTTCGTATCTTTAATTTTTGACTAAAAACGACAAACGGCGAGAAAATTAAATAACACTAAGAAAATCTTTGGGGAAAACGATTTGGTTTGCGATTTTTTTTAGTTTGACATTCTACACGTTTGACACGCCTTTGATACAAACACATGGCACGACGTTGCTAGCGTTAACATTTTGTAGTTCCAATTAATTTTATAATTATCACACCGAACCCAGATTGTTACTTTGAATTGTTTTTGTTTATTCTTTTATTTTTCGATGAGCAATCAGCGTTTGTCGTCGAGTGTAGGAGACCAGGAGACTCACAACACAAATCTAACTTGTTTCAATACTCTACACTTTGTTGCATTCCTAAAAGTATACAATGTAGCAGATGGACTCGCTTAAACTAGAGCATTTAGACCTCTTTGGGCACTGCAAAATACACAGAGACGGCAATATGTCAATTACCTGCATGTCTACCAAGCTTTCGTTTATAACCGCAATTATGTGCATGCCGAGTGAACATCAACGATTTTATTACTATTTTGAGTATAAATTCTAATTCACTCGCCACTCGGGTTCTATTACCACTACGATGTACGCGACGTCGCGTTCGCGAAGGCGGCAGAGAGAGCGAGATCATCAACTCGTTGAAACGTACATTACCGGCAAAAAACTAATTGTGCATCGCAATAGATGCTTGTAATTGGTCAGCTACTCAGTAATTATGGTAATAATGTCTCCTCTCCCGCACTCGAGAGTAATGACCGTTTCTCTGTTAATGAACGTGTAACTGCCACGGAAAAGCAATCAAATAGAAACTATTAAACTAATGACCTGCGTCTCAGAAATATGCGAAACAAAGAAATCCATGAAAACTTACGCAACATCTAGCTATTTTAGTAAGAGTTCGTCTAGAAAAGCACTGCCGCCTTACCTATTTCTGTCGCCAAGCAGTAATGTAAGCACTATTGGTTTTCGATTTTGAATGGTAAAGGTGCTGATGAAATTACAGGCATATGGGACTTGTCAACCTGTCTCAGGGTGACAGGGACAGTGGCGGTGCCCCTCAGATCTTTGCGATTTAAAGCGCTGAGTGGCACTGCAACTGTTATGGACAGGTGTATAAATTACCATCAGAATCACGACTTGTTCGTCCCGTCACTTGATAAAAAAAATCTATTTGCGAGTTCAATCAACACCGTATATCTACCGAGTCTCGAAAAAATCTGTATTCTTCTTCTTCTTCTTATCGTATCGACGGTAAATACTACAATGCTTGTCTTCGTAGTGAAAGAATTTGCCAATCGGCGTAAGGTTCTCGCCGATTGTTGCCAAGGGTGCAGCAGACGTAAAGGATAGAAATGGTACGTCATACGTCATTGCTCCTTTCGCGCACCCCTCCGTGCTCCAGCTCGTTTGAACGACGCTTCGACAACTACGACAATTACAGAGGTAGAGGAACCTGTACCGTTCCTCCTTCTGTCGACTAGAAAGTTCGGAACACGACATCCTTATTACATTGGAATACCACGGATTCACGCGAAGCTCTTTGCTTTCTCCTTCGAAACGCGTACGGCGAAGAAATGGAATACCAACACAACTGGCATCTGTGTTTCCCGGAAGAAACCAATAGACAGAGAAACGCGTACCATCGTCGTCGCTTGTCCTCGAGTAACGGCCAAGCGTGTGTCTTCTATCTCAACCGAAAGACACAAAAATAAATGTCGCTTTCAGAGTTTCGACGAAGTACCTATACTTTCATCTATATAGACAATTGGTAGTAACTGTAATATGGTAATACTTCGACTTCCGGATTTCTGCCAATAGTTTTAAAGTCTCTTATGACTGAATGTAAAGGTATTTTTTATCTATACCTATGGTTAAAACAAGCTATTGCTTGTAGCTTAAAACGTTTGCTTTTGGTGAAAGGTTATAAATTTATCTACTGTATTTTTTTACATGCAGCCACTAGAATGATTTTAAAATCCAATTTGAACTTCTTACATGAATAGTTTTACCCTACGATGCAGTAAAATTGGAAATCCGGAATTCGTAAAAGTGATTGATTACTATTTGAGGGTTTTAACCACTCTATATTAATCATTGTATCTACTTATATATAAATATAGTTCTACTCATTTGCAACTGCTAATAAGATACGTCGAGAAGTAGTCCGCGATAATTTGTCCGGAGGCGAGACGCGACGAAATTGTCGTCATACCGCCACGGCCGGTATAGCAACAGATTTAAGCGATACGTCGTTTGTATAACGACGTGTACGTGGAACTCGTTCCCGTTACAGATATATCTAGAGATTACAAACATTGATTTACTTATTTTATTTATTGTGGAATGTAATTGATAGAAATAATCAATTTCTGAACGCTTAATTTAAATTTTATATGTGTAACCAAGCACCTACATTTATTCAGTTGGTTACATTTGATTTTTAATTTAATATTGAATTCCCGTAAGGAAGGATAACAATTATATTCTTAAATACTTTTAATGACGATCATTTTAATCACACTTTTTTTATTAAACACTATTCGTATAACGTTTCCCGAGTAACAAATTCCTTACTAAAAATATATAATAGACATAAAGGCGGGTAAATACAATACTGAGCACACAGTCACTGCAACCCGTTATCGCGCGATACACTCAGCAATTATCCCTTGATTTATCGGGGCGATAACTTTTCTTTTATCGCTTTCGATCGCCGGGTGGCTTCGCTGTGCGTCCGCGCACCTCGGCCGCGGCAATCATTCGATTTCAATTTATTTATTTAGAACCCGTACTTAGCTTCGTTTTGTTTATTTTAGTATGTTTCGATTGAAGTTTGATGAGCTTCTTGCTAGTTTCTTCTGGATTTTCAGTTTATGTTTTTAGTTTTTTTTAGTTTATATCAGTGTGTGTCACTAAAAACTGATACGGTTAGGACAAAAACTTATTTTTATAATGTAGACACATGTAGCAATACGCATATTTGATATAAGTGCCTCAGCCAAGTTTAAGAATGCGCGAGTGGACAGTTTCTTAGCTGTCATCCGTAAAAAGTCGGCGTCGCTACTGAATAGAATACGTGTCAGCCCCTATAACCTACTAAAGACAATTGGTGGAGGGATTGACTGCCCAGTAATACGACTGTTAATACATACTACAAACTTTCTTATAGTATTTAAGTACTAACATGGTTTTAAGGCTGTACCTACTAACATTAAATGTATATAAGTTTAAAACAGCATTAACGTTTCACTAGCTCATTACAGACGACAAGACTGAGGTAGGAAACAGGGTTCTGTAACAGAATTAAATGTAATAAGTATTCAGATTGTATCTTCTAGAACGGAACTGTGTAAGATGGTGTCGAGCGATGCAAAGTGCATGTTACGGTACGTTAATGCGACACAATCGCTGGGAATGCGCACGCGCAAATAGCGACATAAACAGACACATACAAACCTCAAACTATTTCCTAGATAGGGCTGACAAACGGGCACTACAGGCAATGTGCAATAAAATGTAAATGGTGCTTGTATAATAAATCCACTATGATTTATTAGAATAAAACCAGATATTTAAATAAGTTCGCTGCTCGTAAACAGCGTCTTCTGAAAACAGTGATTTGCCATAATTGCAATAAAGCTACGATGCGTAAGAATACAATTTATGTTATAATTATTAATACAAAGATACATACACTCAGAAAAAATTCCTTCGATCCAGCCGGATTCGAACCGACGTGTTCTAGCAAACCGTGTCAGACGCTATGCCAACAAAGGAAAGGAACGAACTAGCGGACTTCA